CCCGGGCCCCGGCCCTGCTCCCTCACTGGGGGAGGACGTGGGGGTCGGGGCCCCTTCACCCGCCGTGGGTGTCCCCGTGGGGCAGAGGCGCCCGTGGGCTGGGTGTTCCCCGAGCTTTGAGTGCCAAACCCCCCGGGTGGCTTTGCCAGCCCCGTCTCGGCAACGCCCAACGCTTCTGCACGGCGAGAGCCCCGCTGTCGGTCGCTGACGGGCTCGGGACACCCACATCGTGCCTGGAAGCTGCCCGTGGAGGGTGAGCCCCTGCGGGGGTGTGCTCGGCGTACGGCCTCAGCAAGCGCCTGCGCGTATCTGGACGCCGCAGTCGCGTCTGGACAAGCCGGCAGCGCCGGCATGGCTGCGAGGCTGGGGGGTTGTGCCATATGACAAAATTAAAACAGCGTTTGGTTTTTCCATGCTCGTTAAAACCGCCGTCATGCCCGGCAGAGCGGGCTGGAGGAGGGGATGGGGAGTGAGAGACGCTTTGGGTGCGTTGTCAGACCAGCAGCGGTGGGTTACCGCACCGGTCTGCTTCAGTAATTACTGATTTATAACGATGCGACTGGGGAGGAGCTGTAATGCGTCGTGTCCCCCCCCATAGTTTTATCGTGCCTGGGGTTTGGCGTTGAGCTGTGCTGTCTCCTGATACAGAGCTGCGATCTTCTCACGCAGTTTTTGCCCAACAAGATCAGCGGTTTCGCCTGCCCTGCTGGAAACGCGTCCTGCGCTCTCAACTACAGCCCAGGTAAGACATTGGGTTCTGCCCTGGGCCCCTGTTGTCTGGCAGTTCCCTCCCCTCAGCAGCTCGGGGAGGAAGATGCAGCTCTGTCTTCACTGCTGTCGTGTTTCTCCCCGGCAGAAGTGCCCTGCCCTGAGAGCTGCGGGGCGGCGGGGGAGCCTCGAGCCTTTGGCTCCAGCGCCAACGGGCAGTGGAGGGGCTTGGTTCCCCCTCTGGGCTCCGTGCCGCAGAAGCCGAGGGTGAGCCGAGGCTCCTACCTTGAAGCTCGCAAAACCCCCAGGTGCGTACAGCTCCCTGCCGCGTTTAACCCTCCCTGCAGAGAACGGGGGGAGTGCAGGTGGCGGTTTTACCCCACGCAAACTGTCGATATCGGTACAGAGTGAGTTCAGGGTGGAAACAGTTGCGTGGGTCGAGGCTGGCCGGGCCCGTAGGTGCCTCTTGGCGTTTATAAACCTCCCTGTGACAAAGATGCTTCGTAGAGGGCGTGAGCGGTGCTTCTGAGAGACACGGCCCGCCTCGCGGAAGCTGGCGGTGCAGCGGATCCGGTTCGAGCGTGGCGGGGGTGCTGGGATGAGAACGGGAACATGGCCGCACCCCTGGGAGATCGGGGAGAAACAACACGTCGTCGTTCGGTGGTGGGAACGGGCTGGTTAGCGCCCGCGGCGCTGGGTGCAGGAGCCGTTTTGGCAGCTGGTATAAAGCCGTGTTGCTTCAGACCTATCCCCAGCGGGTCAGGTTTTTGTTGCTCCTGAAGATCCCCGTAGTGGCCAATGTTTGTTTGCAAACAGGGAAAATTAATTTCTATGGGAGAAAGACGCAGCCGACCTGTGTAGCTTTTTTGTGGGCTGGTGGGTGAGCCTGGGCATGGGGAGAAGCAAGGTGAGGGAGGGCGTCTGCTCTTACCGATAAATCCAAGGGCCGAGAGCGGCGTCTCCTGGCACGGTGCAGCCATTTTGTGGTGCCGGGATGGCGGTAGATCCGGCGGGAAGGTCTGGCCCTTCCCGGGGGTCTCAGGGCTGCGGCTCCTCGGCCTCGCCAGTGCCATCTGCTGGCACCGGTTTGGCGGCTCGGGCCTCGGCAGAGGCTTCGGCTCGAACTCTGATGGCTGGAGCCAGCCTCCAGCTCCAAGAGCGTCCTTGAAACGCAGACAAAATACTCATTTCTGATCACAGTTGGGTAGCCTGGCTCTCGGCTGGGTTTGGGGGTGGGGGATGGTGAGATAGCGGATTAAAACAAGAGTAAAGTCAAATAAAAGCGTTTCTTTCACTCCTCGCAGTGGGACGTCCAACAGTTTTGTAGGAAAATCGAACCACCATTGCCATGCGTCGGCTTTTCCGATCAAACCCGCTCAGAGCCCTTCCTGGAGCGGTCCGTGTCGCCGCAGCCTGCTTAGCCCCAAGAAGACTGCCCGGCGGTTCGTCAGCACGGCGGAAGAGGTAAAGGAGAGGCTGGGAGACCGTTCAGTGGGCGGTTAGCTCTGAGGAGATCTCTTCTGAGCAGCGCAGAGTCCTTGAGGCAGCTCTAACTGACTGCCTTGTGCTGGATTTGCTCTGTCTGCCAGGCAGAAGCTGGCTTCAGCTCTGCTCGCGTTCGCACTTCAGCTGCGGTCGGTCTGGTCAAGGCTGATGGTTGAGCTCTGCGACACCACTGGGTGTGCTTGGGCCCACAGAATCTCTGCTTCGTGTGTGTCTGCTCACTATTCCTTTGTTGAAATCACGTTGGCTAGACATATCTGGGTATTTCCCCGCAGACTGTTCGAGAGGAGGAGCGAGAGATCTACAGGCAGTTGCTTCAGATGGTCACAGGAAAACAATTCTCCACGTCCAAACCCTCTTCGCTATTCCCCTTCCACCTGTGAGTATGTCAAAGGTTCTTTGCCAGCCAGCGGCTCCCTGTGTGTCCGCTGGGAACTTCCTTCCTGTCGTTCCTAGGTCCAGGTGTTCAAATTCCAGCAAAACCGTAGTGAAGGAAACTCCCAGCAAGAACTCGAAGCTGTTTGAAGCTCACAGTGTTGCATCAGCGGATTCAGCAACCAGCGTCCTCAGAGCGCAGGAGCAGCCCTCGCACAAACCGTCGCTCTACTCCGCGCCCAGCTATCCCTCCGATGTCTTTCCGTCCAGTAACTCCACAGCCCAGCATCAGCAAGAAAACTTACCAGCATCTAGTACACAGTCTGAAGGTAATAAAAAAAACCACCCAACCAAACAAAAACCAGACCCAAAACGAAACCCCAAAACCTGGCAATCGACATAAACGTGTGTGGCAAAGCCACTTTTCCCCTCCCCATCTGAGTCTGGACTGCTGCGGCAGTTGGGGCAGTGGGTGGTAGCCCTGAGGATAACAGCATTCCCTGAACTTCACTCCCTTTAGGGTCGGACTCTGTCATTTTGCTCAAGGTAAAGGATTCCAGAACACCAGCACCAAGGTAAGAGGCTGTGAAATGGTGTCTGGAGGGTGGGGTGGGTGACAGCAGCTGCTTTAATCCCGTGGAGAGGCGTGGAGGCAGAGCGGGAGGTGCCCAGCGGCTTTCCGAATGGCTCGTGAAGGGAGAGCAGCTTGCTGTAGCTGCAGGACCTTGGGTGTGATGTGTCCGACCTCTCTCTTGCGACCTGGCTGTAAATCGCTGGCAGATCTGCCTGCGGCTCTTGCTGTCGCTGTGGCGGTGGGGCTGTCCTCAGATAATGCTTACAGATCACTTTTCAGGCTCTTACTTACGCCCCATGTGAAGGAGCCCACTTACGCCTCTCCTTTCTCCCCCTTCTTAGCCTCCCGTTCTTCCAGGCAGAACTGTGGATCAAAGAACTGTAAGTACACGTTTTCCGCTCGGTTTTCCTGTCGTGGGTGTCCACGTGCAGAAATAAACACGTTTTTTTTTCCCCACAAACTGTGCTTTTCAGGACCAGCGTCTACGATTCCCGAGCTCGGGAGAGGTGGCGGCAAATTGAAGAGCAGAAAGCGTTGGCCTTGCAGCTGCAAAGCCAGGTAACAGAGAGCACTTACCAAAAGAACAGTCTCTGCAAGTCGGAGGCTTAAACTGCAGACTAGAAAACAAGTTGGAAATGGAAAAAAGACAAAGTGGCCTCCTTCGGGGTCTGGTGTCTTCCTTGCTTCCCCTTTCCCTGGCAGGGCTCTCAGTAGTGTTGTGGCCAGGGTAAATGCTCCCCCTCCACGCCCCTTCTTCATCTCCTGGAGCGTCTGGCCCCACACAGCTTCCTCGCAAGCCCCAGAGAGGTGGCTCCCTGGACACCACCTCATCCGAAGGTCTCTCCTCCAGCGGTTGCAGGAACAGGAACACTCGGTGCAGGATCTGGTGGACTTAAATCTTCGGGTGCCCCTTGAGAAGGAGATCCCTGTCACGGTGGTCCCAGAAGAGAAGGAGGATGCGAAGTCAGCTGACAGCGAAGAGGAGTTCCCTGAAATCACCGAGGTAGATCTGCTTGGATCTGGTGTAGACAAACAGACGCTTGTGCGCGTGAAAGATCTAAATAGGACTGCGATTTCCTGAACTCCGTGGGTAGAGACAGATAGCTGTTCCCTTTTGCCGCGTGCATTTTGTAGCAAGTTCCTCCTTTGAGGAGCAAAGACTTGAGGAGCAAAGACTAAACCTGGGTTTGAATCCAGCCTTTGAGGCGGGAATAGCAGGAACTCTCCCTTCCAATGCTGTCTGTGTCCTCCCTGTAGGAAATGGAAAAGGAAATAAAGAACGTGTTCCGAGGTGGGAACCAGGACGAGGTCCTCAGTGAAGCTTTTCGGTTAACGATCACTCGGAAAGACATTCAGACCCTCAATAATCTGAACTGGCTCAACGACGAGGTGAGGAGTCGACCCTGGGCCCCTAAGCAGCTTTCCTTTGGCAATTTAAAGTAGGATGAAGTGAACAAACGTGTCTGCCTTCCCCCGTGCGGAAGGAAGCCAGCGGGTCAGTAGGAGTGGTGAGCTGTGGAGAAACCCTTGTGTAGACCAGGTGCTCAAAATAATAATACTGGGAGGAGTGGGACTGACCATGGGCATGATCAGGGCAACAAAAAAAGTAAATCTTAAATATAAAAGACTGCATTCTTGAATTTTTTGGGATTTTGGAAGGTTTTAAGGCTGTTGAGCTGTTGTAAACCCCCTGGGGACAGGTCTGCAGAGTGACAGGTGGAGGCGAAACCAGTTTCTTACCTGATTTTGCACAGGGCCAGAGCGCCTTACGTAGAAGTGTCAGCACTCTTAACGTGTCCTGGATGCTTTTTCTTTCCCAGATAATTAATTTCTACATGAATTTGCTGATGGAGCGGAGCAAAGAGAAGGGTTTGCCGGCGGTTCATGCGTTCAATACTTTCTTCTTTACCAAACTAAAGACAGCGGGGTACCAAGCTGTGAAACGATGGACTAAAAAAGTGGATATCTTCTCTGTGGATCTCCTCTTGGTGCCTATTCATCTGGGAGTGCATTGGTGCCTGGCAGTGAGTGCTCGAGTTACTCCCGGTAGAGCGTAGCTGGAGCAGGTTGTGCTATAAACCCACCTGGCTACGGCTGAAATTCCGTGGCGGTCGAGTGATGCAGTTGTCAGGTGTTTGCACGGGGGAAAAATTTGTGTCTGTGGCTAAAATCGAAGTCTAGAGCGAGGGAAAAGATAGCTGCAACTCTTTTGGTGTGTTTCTAGTCTTCAAAGAACAAATGGACAGCTGTGAAGGTCACGTTAGGCTAGCTTGTTCTCCAGAGAGAGATCTCGTTTCCACGTTCCCACAAACTCGCCTTTAGAGGTGTTGCCACGGGATCGTTGTGGAGAGATTTAGAGGACAGATACCGCGCGGCTTCCTCTGCCTCCTGCCGCCAGGTAGGGCCTTCCCTTCACTTGTCTGCGGGCGCTGCGCGGTGACAGATAGCGCGTGGCTGAAGCCTGCAGCAGCCTCCTGAGCTCCAGCCCCCTCGGGGGGACGTTCAGCTGCCCGGAAAGGCAGCGCTCGCACGGGTGGGCAGTGGTGTGGAAACGGGGTGCGGGGCCCTGAGAAAACACCCGGGGAACTCGGGTCTTGAACCGCTTAGTTATGCGCACGTCAGGTGGAGCGAAGGCTCCGTAAACCTATCTGTCTGCGGCTTGAACAATGGGGGTAAAGAGTGCTCTTGTGTTTTCCCCGATGTAGAGATTGAAGTGCTTAAGTAACACGGTAGAAAGGGGGGATTTGGGGGGGGGGACTGTACCAAGGGTGCTAGAAATTCTCTGAAATCTGTCTCTGCTGTGAAGTGGTCTAAACTTACCGCTTTCTAGCGGCAGAGCTTGTGTCCCGGGAAAGAGATGAGCTCCTTGTGTTGTGCATGATTAACGAATCTCTCTTTGTGTAGGTTGTAGACTTCAGGAAAAAAACGATCACCTATTATGACTCCATGGGTGGAATAAACAGCGAAGCCTGCAGGATACTGTTGTGAGTAACACCTACTTGAGTTGTGCCTGTTAAAAACCAGACAGGTTCTTGTCTTGCTCTGGAAGCCGCAACCTTTCCGTGGGGACAGTCCCTTGGTGGGTCCTGAAAGGAGGACTCGGAGGAACACCCTCGCTGTTCGTGCTACATCTTTCGCCACGCGTTGCTGACGTGGTCTGCGGTCACAGAGCTGGTCTCTGAGTGTCCTGCGCGGATGCCCCGTCTTCGCCTCTTCCCAGATCTGTCAGTCACGGGCATAGACAGGTTTCAGACCCGTTCTGGTAAGGACATCAGGCTTTACCAGTCTTGGAGTCTTCCTGGGCATCATCTTTAGGAGGAAAACAGCTTCCCTGAGGAACAGGGATCCTTCCCTTGTCCTGCAGCCGCTGGAAGAAATGGCGTCTCCTTCCTCCAGATGGGAGCTTTTCCTGCCTGTGGCAAAGAACAGCTCAGTAGCTTGGCCCTTTGCTCCCAGAAGGAGATTCTGGAGGGTGTGGGGGTGTGTGTGGGGTGCGGGAGCATCCCTTGCGCCAGGCAGTGGATGAAGGTTTGCGGGGGTCTCCTCTGCGTTACACCCTGTGCCGTGCCTCCATCCCAGGGCCGGGGCAGAGTTGTTCTTCCCGGGTTCAAACTGCGGAGGAGTTCTTGGTTTTCACATCCTGAGCGATGCTCCGGGAGGGAGCGGAGCTGCCCGCCTGCTCTCAGAGCTCTTGTAGAAGAGAGGGGCTTGCATGTCAAATCCAGAGCTGGTTTCCCATATTTGGAAGCTGCTCTTGAATGGAGTGTGATTAAAAACGAGCTACTCTCTGGGCAGGGGTGAAAACCCCCCTGTTTTCTGAAGTCCCTGGTCACGCATTGCTGTCAGGCTTGATACAAATCAGATGGCAAAGTGATTTGCAAAGCAGTCGCCAGCTCCTCTGTCGCTCCGACGCTGACCCTGGGTCGGCTGTCGGTTCTGTTTCTTGTCTCAGCTTCGCTCCGACACTGACTTGGGAATACGATCCCGAGGCTCCTGGCGTGAGGCTGGGTGTGTCAGCAGAGGTGTCACTCATTCAGTCAAGGAATGTGAGTAACGATAAAGAGAGACAGCAGACAGATGCCATTTCCAGCCCGTTTAGCACCTTCGTTTTCCAGTTCAGGTGCTTTGCAGTCTGCGTGCGCCGGGTTCATTTAAATAACTGTAAAAATAGCTGTTTCCCTTTTCCACACGGTTCTGAGGAGTTGGACTAAAGGGAAAGGAAAAGTATCAAATCTTTGGAAGTGGCTCGAGGCCGCGTCTCTTCGTTTCTCCGTGGTGGTGGGGG